TTTTATTTATTGAATATTTTAAATTATACTTTTTAAGCTTGTTCAGTGATCTTTAAATAAATATGTCTTTAAAATTACCCGCTCATTTTTGCAGCATTGCTCTTTGTCATCGACTTGACTACGAAGTTTGTTACAAATGTCAGATCGAAGAAATCTTCGGTAAGAGTCCTTTTGCATAAGAGCCATTATCTTTTTTTGTGCCGCATCGAAGACGTAATGGTTGGGTGAAGAAAGACCAGCGATCGTTTCTAGTCTCGTTTTTGAATCTAAGTTGACCTACAAAGAAGATATTTAAAAATAACATATATTAGGAATTTCAATAGAAATTTCTGCCTAATATATTAAATGCAAATATACGGATATTAAAATAGATTTTAAAATAGTTTTATTGCTTAAGCCAAATCCTAAATATGACACTTATATTGTTCACTACGCCAGTAGACGAAGGTTAAATTTTGGGGGTAAAATATATCTTGTATTGACTAATAATATACTATATACTAATAATGATTTTGTCAATATTTGACTTTATTTGTGTTCAACTGTACTGTAGAAAAGAGTAAATTATTTTATTAAACATTACATTATAATCCATACAAAGTTAAAATTCCACCATTCTTTTCGTGATTTGAATTTAAAGAAACACATAACTCAAAGCATTAAAAATATATATATTATACGCACGTATAAAATTCCAATATTATTTTAGCCTAGGAGTATGAGCATCAAAGATTGTAATTAACAGAATCGGAGTATCTGCATTTATACAAAAGATAAGGGTAAAATAATGGGATTTTCCGACCTAGGTATGATCATTACTTGTCATATAATTTTACTAGTTTACTTTATCTAACACAAAGGTTTTTTAAATATTATCTATAAAACGATTCTCTTATACCGTAACCTACTTCCGCATGCACATAAGACTCGAAGTTAGCATCAGTTTTAAGATTACCGATATAATGGAATGTGAATTCACTTTAACGAAACTGAATAAAATTAAAAAGATGAGAAACAGTATTCACGGCTCTAATTCGTAGAGATCCTTTTTTTATCCTCGCATTTGGGATAGTTTTATTATCACTGCCTATATCAACTTAATCAATCTAGGGGGACCAAGGGTTTTATTAGCAACAAGGTACTATACGTTTGGATTTACTTTTCTGAAAAGCACTGATACTGTAATAAAGTAGGTTTGGCTGAAGTATTTATCTTTCAAATTAAAAAATACCCAAATTTTCAGCTAAGGATAGGAGTTATATTACATAATAAGGATAACCTTTGATTTTTGGCGGGG